CCGCCCGACAGCCGCCGCCCCGGAGGTTACTCTAGGCCGGCAGGCCTGCCCGTTCCCGCGGATCGCCGTGGTCTCCTTACCATGAGGCCAGTGAGTCGCCGCACCCTGGACCGGATTTATTCCGTGGTAGGTCCCGGGTCTGGCGAGGCTCCACGGTGTCGGCTCCCTCGCCCCCGGGCGGAAGCCCCCGTATTCCTTCAGCGCCCAGAAACCCAAAAACCCATTCCTGAATTAAGCTTTCCACTCCCTCCCCGGACTCCGCCTCTTCCTGGAGGACACGCTCTTCCGCTTCTTACGTCAGGACAGTGGGTGGATTCGCCTCCGGAATTCCATTTATTCGTTGGTTACTGTAATTTCCACCTTAGCAACGTACACGGCAACCAATGGGGAGAGGGCAGCGAGGAAGTACTACCCACAGTGAAATTTTTGCTGTTACTCCCCCTCTTGCATTTTTATTTAAATTTTTATTTATTCATTCATTTATATTTTTTAGTTGCTCCTCGCGATCGTATTACTTTCCTGGGGATATGTCATCTATGCATCGACAGTAGCCGCTCGACGACAACTAAGGAAGAAATACCCAGACAAAATATTCGGGAATGAATGAAATTTGTAATTCCTCTAGATTTTATTCTATGCAAATACTTCACTTTATGCTTACCTGACACATGTCTATATTTAAAGTAAAATCCATAATATAAAGTTTTCAAATTTATTATTGCATACAGTCCTTTATAATAAACCATGAATGTGCTAACTTTTCCAATACGTGTAGTTTTAAGTTCTCATATAACAAAGCAACCTAGATCTGACAGCCTTTGAGTATCAGATCATAGATGAAATGACATGATTTTCCATTTAGAGTTCCCAAAATACTTCTTTTAAAATGCCTCAGAAAGCCACCTTTAAAACAAAAGTGTGTGGAATTTCTAACCTTATATTTGTTTATTACATTTCATTCTGTTGCATACCTACACAACAGACTAAGTATTATGTAAGAAAAAAAATAATCGTGTGACTAATTTTCTACATCTTATTTTCTGACTCAAGAATGGCCAGAAAAAGGTGATCGTTCATATCATTTTTTTTAAGCAGGTCCAGTTTGTACTTACTGTTAAATAACTAAATAACTAAAAAAGTCTTAAATTGTACAGTGTTTGGGAAAAAATAGGCAACACATATCTGAGAGTAAACTTTATTAAAGTTCCTTTTCCAGAGAATATATTCAGTAAATATGGTAATATAGCAACAAAACTTAGGCTCATATGCTTTTGAAATTTTAAATTAATCTTCAATGATGTTGATCAGGAAATTCTTTCATTGGTGGAATTACTTCTCCAGTCTCCAGAATTATATCACCCTAGGAAAACAAACATGTATTAGTAGAAGGATCTTGTCTGCAAGGTATATCCACTCAGACCTCACACTGAAAATCTAGTTCAGCTTTGGCATTCACATTATAAAGGGACTTAGATAAAGCAGTGTCTGTCTAAAGATGAGAAACCAGTATTCAAAATCTTAAGGTATAAGTGAAAGAATAGGGGAAGTTTCACTCAAAACAAAATGACCAGAAAGAGCATAAAAGTGGTCTTCACAAAGTGACACAGGAATAATGTTTACTTGCAAGGCCCCAAGAAATAGAAGAAGCCCTAGAAAAAAGTTACATGGAAACACCTTCAGCTCAATCCTGGAAACTCCATTGACAAACTATATAATTAGTTAATATAATTTCAGGCAAATTACTTAGCTTTAGTTTCAGCTTTGTGTTCAAGATAGCAGATTCTATCAACCTGACAGTCCATGAATGACTGGGTAGAGTAGAATTATTCCTCATCCCTACCCCAGCCTTTTCCTGACCTGGTACTGCTCAGGACTGTTATTTAATAAAAAAATAAACTTTATGTTTAAGCCATTATACATTTTGGGGATAATTTATTACCACAACTAACATTACCCTAACACAGACATTAACATTCTGAAGTGGTACTAATGCTGCCGTAATAAAAACTAAACCACATGGCGCTGGCTTAGCAGTCTGGAGGCAAGGACGCTGGCATTGGAAGGTAAAAATAAAATGAAAGCCAGTAATAACTTGGAAGCAGACTGTCTAATGAGCTTGAGGTCCTAGGAGAGGAAGCTGGAAAAAAGTTAGGAGTTCAACTATTAGTTGCCTTGGAAAAGTACCTTAGGAAACATGAGCTCTGGCAAGAAGTAGCTGATTTGAAAGCAGAAATAAAAAGAAGATATCCAGGACCTTTCAGGATTGGAAAAACAAATTGCTTCTGAATCTTTAAATAGTAAGGGTTAACAATGAAGACATTCTGAGAAACAGAAGCCCAATAAAGCTCAGTAAACAGGGACGCAGCCCTTTGTCAAAGATCAGATTGAAGTGCAGTCTGTTTCAGATAGCCTCCGAATAGCTGCCACTGCGTTGAGAGGCAGCTGCAAGAGGACAGCGAAAGGAGAGAGGAAGGCCGCCTCCTCCTCCCCGCCCCCGCCGCGGCC